CATCCTGCAGGGGGAGGGGAAAGGGGGGGAAAGGGCAGCCAGGCCTGGAATAAGATCTGGGCAGAGAGGCCTGGAGGCCCACCCCACCCCCACCCTCAGGCTGCTGAACGAGAGCGAAAAGAGGCCCTTCGTGGAGGAGGCGGAGCGGCTGCGAGTGCAGCACAAGAAGGACCACCCGGACTACAAGTACCAGCCGCGGCGCAGGAAGTCGGTGAAGAACGGGCAGGCGGAGGCGGAGGAGGCCACCGAGCAGACGCACATCTCCCCCAACGCCATCTTCAAGGCGCTGCAGGCCGACTCACCGCACTCCTCCTCTGGCATGAGCGAGGTGCACTCGCCCGGCGAGCACTCGGGTGAGTCCCCCCGCTGCCCCCACGCCAGGGCCCCTAGCCCCTCCTGGCACACCCCCAGGCCTCCCCCTCGGATCCTCTGCGTGGTGACTTTGGGCTCTCAGGGGCCCTCCCAGCAGTCTTACTCTCCTGTCTGGCCCACGAGGCTCCTAACCACACGCGCGCATGCAGCACACACAGCAACCCAGTTCCTGCATCCTGACAGAGCAATGTTTTACTGCGTAGTTGACAGCGTTACAAAACAGGCTCCTTTTTCTCTCTGCGCCCCCTCCCCAAAAGCACACAAAAGCTCTTGGACAAGTAGCGATTTGGTCTTCCCGACCCTCGACGCCTCAGACCCTGCCCTGATAAAAGGAGACTGGCGAGTTAATCATTCCTTGACTTATCTGCAGCGCGGCGCGCCTCCCGCGCGGGTGTGGGGACTTCTTACGCCTTAGCAGGCAGGGAGGGTCCCCTGAGGGCTCCTGACAATTGCTTCCCACGGTCCTTGTGGATTACCATTGCCTTTTCGTTCCTTGCAGGGCAATCCCAGGGCCCACCGACCCCACCCACCACCCCTAAGACCGACGTGCAGCCTGGCAAGGCTGACCTGAAACGAGAGGGGCGCCCCCTGCCCGAGGGGGGCAGACAGCCCCCCATCGACTTCCGCGACGTGGACATCGGCGAGTTGAGCAGCGACGTCATCTCCAATATTGAGACCTTCGACGTCAACGAATTTGACCAGTACCTGCCGCCCAACGGCCACCCTGGGGTGCCGGCCACGCACAGCCAGGTCACCTACACGGGCAGCTACGGCATCAGCAGCACCGCGGCCACCCCGGCGAGCGCGGGCCACGTGTGGATGTCCAAGCAGC